GCTGCCAGTCTCCGGCCTGGACGCGGGCAGGAAGGACTCCTGCAGGGCCGGGCGCCCTCTCCTCAGCCCCATGGCACCTGATTTGTGCTAAGCCTGCAGCAGCCTCACCCCAGTCCCTGCAGCCACCAGGAGGTGGTCCCCATCACCCCATTGCCCATCACCCCCATTCACAGAGGTCTCAGACTGAGGCTGGGGGGCACCATTACCCAAGATCAAAACCTTGTTGTCTGCACCCCTGGAGAAGTGAGGAGTGGGGAGTGGGGAGGAGAAGGGAGGGGGGCTGTCTGTGTCCTCCCAACCTTAACAGAAGGTTGGGAAGGTGGGGCTGGGGATCCTGGAGGATTGCCCCCCACAGCCCAGCACCCACAGGCCACAGGTGGGCTCCCCATCAAGGCACCCCTAGTCCAGGATCCCTAGGGGTCAGGGCCTCTGAATACAAGAGGTGGGGTGGGGGCAATTCTGCAGTGGGTCTGATAGTGAGGCGGGGGTCCCCCGTTCCCTGCAGGCAGTGGGTCCCATGTGGGTAGGGACACTCCAGCTGCTTATCCCAACAGGGGTGGATGCAGTTTGCAGGGCTGGCGCCCTGTGTCCTGTCCCACATCCGCGTCTGCTCCTGTCGGTAGAGAGGGGAGAGGATGGGGTAGCAGAGGTAGGTCCTGGCAGGCAGAGACAAACGTTTATGACCTTTGCCTTCTGACCTTTGCCTCTGCCCACTGCTCAGACTAAAACAGAATGGCCCCCTCCAGGAACAGGGCGTCCTATGGGCTAGGAAGCATGGGGCCCCCACAGTGTGGCCTAGCAGGGGAGTGGGGGGGGCGGGGCAGGCCTGTGGGGGTCAGAGAGCTGGGCTAAGCTTCAGAGGGAAGTAGCCCATGGGTGAGGGGAACGGCTGGGGTTAGGATCCTGCATTCCCATAGCCCCTAAAACAGAAGTAGAATTAGGGAGGAGAAAGAACTCCCCAAGACCAAGGGGGCATCTATCAAAGGAGCTCAGCACAGACAGGGGGCGTCCCAGGGCGAGGGTGACCAGGACAGCTCTAGGGAAATGCAGGAGGACCAGGAGAAGGACTGGAGATGCCGGGGGAGGCTTCCCAGTGGAGACAGAGGCGCCACCGGACAGGAGCAGGGCACTACAGACACGGTCAGTGGGAGGGGCTCTGGGTGGGGAAGAAGACCTCTCCAGGGAGAAGGGAAGAGGGGGAAGGAGAAGGGGAGGAAGTGGGAGGAGGAGAGTGTTCATCCTGGAAGCCACAGCCTAGGGGAGAACTTTCTAGAAGGAGGGCATAAACATCAGTGCCCTAGGATACTGAGAGGCCGGGAAAGGTGAGGCCTCAAGGCGTCCATGGGGCTGTGGTGACCCCAAGATCACTAGGCACAGAGCAGGGACTGCTGGGGTTGGAAGGGGAGGGGCGGGGGCTGAGGTTCTGGTGGCCACAAAGCCAGGTGTGATGGAGGCTTTAGGGGGAGTGAGGGAGGGGAGAATGTCCCCTGAGCATGCCCCTTGGGGAAGGTAGGGGTTCTGGCTGGGGCTTCTCCGCTCCTAGGAAAGGAGGTGGTGCGGGAGGGAGGGGAGAGCGCCCTGCGGCCCAGGACCGGCGGGTTGGGGCCCAGGGTCCGCGCTGCTACGTTTGAGCGGTGCTGGAGGAGCCTCAGCGCGACAGAACTGGCTGGAGACCGGGGATGTGGCACAGAAAGAGTTAAAGGGTACCCCAGGGACCGCCCCGCCGGTCCACCCATGTCGGCCCCCACTCCAGCCCCCATCTGCTCTGCAAAGAGGTGCGGTGGGGGCGAGTGCGGGTGTGGGTTCATCCAGAAAATCAGGAAGGCAGCAGGAAAGAAGCGGCAAGAACCCGGGGACACTGGAGGAAGGGGGCCAGGAGGTGCCCGCCCAGGGACGCGGAGGGAGCGAGAGGAAGGGGCGCTGAGCCACGGCCCCCACGCCCCGCTGCGCTCCTCCACACCTGGGGTGTCCCCGTGGGGAGCCAGGACCCGCCGTGATCGCCACCTGTCGGGCCGGGGTCCGCGGGGTCGGGGGTCTGCAGGATTGGGGTCTGCCGGACCAGGATCCGGGGGGCCAAGGTCTGCAGGGCGGAGGTCAGGGCTCGGGGTCTGCGTGTGGCCTGGACGGGGTCTGCTCGCGGGTCCGAGGCGCTCTCCGGGGCACCCCCGCGCAGGGTGGGCAGCACCGAAGCTCTCGGGGAGGCTGCGCGCAGGGCGGGCGGGGACCCTCGGCTGCTGCTCCCACCCCCGCGCCCCCGCCCCGCCCCCGCCCCTTCGCTGCCGCCCTCGCCCTGCGTCGCAGCTGGAAAGTTGGTGCGGCTGGCACGGGGCGCGGGCGCGGGCGCGGAGCCGGCGCCGACCCGGATCCGGCAGCGCCGTGGAGACCAGCGGCCACCGGGGCTCTGACCCGACCCGAGCGCTCCTGGAGGACAGCGGGGAGCCGAGCGGAGCCAGGAGCAGCGCCGCGCGGTGAGCACCTGTGTCGTGGCCCCGGGGGGACGTTCCGGAGCCGACCCGGGCGGGGCAGAGACTGCGGGGCCGGGGGCGCAGCGGGGCCGGGGGCAAGGGCGCGGGGCGCGAGGAGGGGGAAGCGGCTGGCGGTCTCCGGGGCCCCGGCTGGCGCGGTCCTCAGTCCCGTCGGACACCTCCGTTCCCAACCCCGGCTCGGACGCCCCCCAACCCTGGTCCTGCACCGTCGGGCAGGCCCAGGGGTCTCAGTCCCTCCCGCGTCCTCTGGTCCCGGGAGCGCGGCTGGGGGCGGGGGTGTCGCTGGCTGCCTGGCGCCGCGGCTGCCGCCCTTTGCCGGACTCGCTCCTCCCTCCGGTCTCCCGGCTCCGCCGCCCTGGGAGCGCACAAAGCGCCGTGGATGCGCCCTCGGGCGCGGGGTCTCAGCAGCGCGCGCTCCCCTTGGCGGGCTCCGACCCCTAGGACTGCCCCGGAGCGCCAGCGTGGCCCGGGATGGGGCGGGAGTGTCTGCGCCCCGCCTGGCCGCTCCTCTTCCGCGGCCCACACTGGCGACTTTGACCCCGACAAGCGGGTCACTGCCCTGTCCGGCTCCGGCCTCTCCGGCCCCCGCTTCGCCCCCCTACTCGGCCACGGGGTTTATGCTCCGATCCCGAACCGACCGACCCGGGACCTCTCGGCGCCTGCATCCTCCGAGGACCAGCCAGGGCTGCTTCCTGCCCTTGACGTTGGGGCGCGAGGGTCAGGGTCGGAGCGCACCTGGCCGGGACCCAGGCCTGCCCCGCCCCCACAGGGTGAGGACGCAGGGATCGGGCTTTGTCAACAGCCTGTGGCGCCTGATCCCGCCCTGGTGCCCTGACCTTCCGATGATACCTTCTCTGGTTTCACAAAAACATCCCGGCTCCCACCGCTCCCACCCTGCACTCCTTCGAGCTACTGAAGGCCTCCGGGAGGCCCCTTGGGAACTTACTGGGGAGGCCCACTGCCTTCCTCGGCCAGTGGCTGCTCCACCCATTCTAGGGGCCCAGCTCCCGGTCTGCAGGTCCCTCAGCCGCCCCTGCCGTGGGAATTGGTGGGGCCTGATGGAGCCATGAGCGCCCTAGTCACGTGTTCTGCCAGGGCAGGCATAGGAGAGGACAGGGGTGCCAGCCCTGCTGAGCAGCCGGGGCAGCGGAGCTCAAGTGGCCCCAATCCCTGCTGGTGACTGGTGTGGCCCAACAGATGGCTGTGGGAGGAATCGGGTGGCGGGGGGCTAGGGAAGGCTGGCAGGTCACCTCGGGAGCCTCCCCATTGGGCACCTCAGGAACCCTAATCCTCAGCTGACTCCAAGGAGCTTGGTCACCTGGTCTGTGAAGGCAGAGTGTGGGGTCCCTGGTGGGTTGCCACAAGGGTCATAAGGGGCACAGAAGCCCTGCCAGGCGTTGCAGGCCCAGGAAGCCCACAGTGGCACCTCCACCGCTGCCTCAGCACCCAGTTTCTGTCCACTCCTTCAGTCAACAAACGTAGATCCTAGGCGGATGGGTGCCCAGGCATCACTGTCTCCTGTGGGGGGAGAGGGCTGGGTGAGATCAGGGTGAGATCAGGGTCTCCTGTGGGGGGAGAGAACTGGGTGAGATTAGGGTCTCCTGTGGGGGGAGAGGAGTGGGTGAGATTAGGGTCTCCTGTTGGGGGAGAGGACTGGGTGAGATCAGGGTGAGATCAGGGTCTCCTGTGGGGGGAGAGGACTGGGTGAG